GGAGTTCTGTCTTTCTGAGAAATGCACATTATTAAATAGTTTTTAAAAGATGGATGGATGTGTGAATGGATACACGGTAGACAGGAAAGGGCGGGGGTGATAGGAAAGGGAGGACAGAAAGGGAGAGTGGGGAAAGGAAGAAGGAAGGAGATATAGGCCAAATATTGGGTCACTGTCACCACCCTTGTCTCTCTGTCCCCTGGGAAGCACTGCTGTCAGGAGCAGAGGAGGAGGGGTGAGACAGTGCTCACTGGCTGCTCCAACCTGTACAAATGAGGCTGCTTTCGTGCAGCATTGCTTGCGAGTTAAAAGAAGGAGAAAGAGAAAGGGAGCCGTAGCTGAGTTATGCATCACCAGATACACCATCATTATCATTCACATGACACAAGAAATTCATCATCCACTCATCCCATTATAACCTCTTGAGGACTTAAAATTGGTTGGCAATAAATTTAACGCAAACATTACTCAGGTATAGACTGTAGATTCAAAGCATCTGTTACTATTGATTTATTTGACATTGTTCTTTCATATGCATGAACTTTTTTTAAAAGCAATTTGCTTAAGAAAAGGAGGATATTTGGGGAAATATTAAAGTGTCAAACAGCAGAGGAAAGTTAGCTCCTGTGAAAGTTCAGCAGAGTTTAATTTTATACCTTTCCATTTCTGCACATTCCAATATTGGCTTAAATTCCTAGACTAGCTCATTTGAAAACCTTCTAAGTTTCTGGATGATTGAGATGATCAGAGGTCTTCCAACGTTCCCTTGTAACATACAAAAATTGAAAGTTTTATCAATTCTCAGTAAAACCCGACTTGATAAAACCTTCCAATAGTGACTTCAGGGCTGAATGACACTCAGAAGCTGAGTGTGGTGGTACATGCCTGTGATCCCAATATTCTGGTAGGCTGAGGCAAGAGGATCACAAGTTTGAGCTCCACTTGGGCAACTTAGCAAGGCCCTGCCTGTCTCAAAATTTAAAAAAATTTAAAAGGCTGGGTATGTAGCTTAGTGCAAAAGGCCCTGTGTTCAGTCCCCAGAACTATTAGGAAAAAAAGAATCCCTCCTAGACCGGCTGAAACCTTCAGTGTTACCTGGTAAGATGCTGCGGTTATCCACACACATGGAAAAGATGCGCTCATACACCAGCTTTCCTGGGGGAAAAGGACATATGGCATTAGCATCACACATCAGAAGCAAAAACTAAATAAATGTTTGTCAATTAGGGACACAGACATGTCTTATCCCAGGCACATTTTAACTTATGATAACACTGCCATCTAGTGGGACAAACTTTAAACCATGTTCCTTTCAGTTTTTTGTTTTAATGAGAGGGGACTTTCTCTTTCTGAGACAAGAAAGGTGACCATTCTTAACCAAAACCCAGAGCTAACGGACCCTCAGCTCTCTCCATGCACTCAACAGAAAATATTCTAGATTCTATGCTACATTCAATTTTCAATCAGAAGCTACAAATGGGCTGAGTCCAGCCTGATACCAGGTGTATTTGACCCACAACCTGAGTGCCCACTGGTGCTTTAAAAATTTATGAATTTATTACCAACAGGGAAGGTGGGAGAATTTACGTGAAAAATCTGCTTATTCACATATGATGTGCAAAAATGTGCCAACATCCCTACAGGACAACACTCAGGTACATGGATCAGGAGCTGCCCCTTGCAATGGCATCTGCACTGCCCAGTTTGCCACAGTCCCATCACGCCCTACTGCCCTCCTGTTAGCCTGCTCCCTCATTTGAACCGGCCCAGTGGTGTGTAGAAGCATCTGAACTTGAGCTTCCACGAGGAAGGAGGCCCCATTAGAACAGCAAGTGTGCTCATCTCATTCGCAGCCACATCCCCAGGACCTAATCTGGACTGGCATTAAGCAGGGGCGAGATGCTTGCTGGATGGATGGATGGAGAGTGTTGGTTTTGTAACTCACAGACCACTGTCTCAACTACTGAGCTGTGCCAGGGCAGAACTAAAGCAACTGGAGACAGTGTGTAAACAGATAGGCCAGCTGTATCCCCAAAAAACTACAACTGGCAAGCAGTCTGGACCCCCAAGCCAGGAGGAACACCTATTTATTCTGTGCATGTATTTTGGAAAACATCATCACTATACAGGGGGTACAACGACAGTTCTTCATTTCCTGCCCCCCATCACCTTCAATTTAAAAATGTTTATGTTGTTTTTCATAACCCCATTATTCTGGGAAATAAAGAATACCACACCTTGAAAATGAGGAAGCTGTAAAAATCACGTCTGGCCAAGGACCTGAGATGAAATGATGCCAACAAGAGCTGACAGTGTTAGGATGAAGTAAGGAAGAGGCCAAGCTAGGAGGTGCCGCTTCCTCCAGGGTGGACACCCACATTACAATCACCTAATGTCACTTTTTGGAAAGGAACATTTCTGGGCCCACCTTAGAACTACTGGAGAATTTTTGGATGGAGGGTCTGACCTAAGAATATGGTTTTGAATCACCCTCCTGGGAAACTTTTGTACATGCTCCAGCATGAGCACCACCAACTGAGGGAGATACCAGAGAACAACTTGTCCAAAACTCATGCTTCTCAGACCTGGATGCCCAGCCACAGTGTTATGGTTTATGTCTGTGTGTACCCCCAAAGCCTCCTGTGGCCCTGGGGTAGGCAATTAGAGTTTGAATATGGGTGTGAGAGCTGCACCCGCTGGGGAGTGGAGAGTTTGCATATGTAAGGGAGAGGAAAAGAGTGCTTGGGGCATTCCTCCCCCATTCCGCCCTGGTGTGTGTGCTTGCGGCTTAGCTTTGTGCTGCCGCCCTGAGATGCAGCTCTCTGCCACGTGACACTCTGCCTTATAATCTGCCAAGTATGGATTGAAACCTCCACAAACTGTAAGCAAAATAAACCTTTCCTTCCTTAATTTTGGGCGTCAGCTATTTTGTCCCAGCAGCGAGAAAAAAGTAACCAAGACACACAGTCTGTGGGGCTCTTGGAAAGTTACAGATGTCCACGTACCTCCTTAGAGGTTAGGACAGGATGCAGCTGGGACCTTGGGAGAGTTTGTAAAGGTTCCCAGGAGAGCCCAATGTGCAGCCATGGATGAGAAGCCGAGCACTACACCACGGGCTCCAGCTGATGCTGTGGGAGCCTTAGAGTGAGCCCCAGTTCCTGCTTCACCTGCCTTCATCCTGTCAGGCTGTGCTTTCATCACCGGGGAAGCAGCCATGCCATGGCCATGCCACAGCCATGCCACAGACACACCTGGTGCAGGGCACAGCCTCCCTGGTTCAGTGGGAGCTCTGGCATCAGGGCTGCATGGGATTCGCCTCACCCATTACGCAGCAAGGCTGCTGACAGCTGCAAAGCTTCTTGACTCCTACGGTGCACAGGGCAGACTGAGCACGAAACTCCTTACTTCCTACACAAAAGCTTGCTGTGTCACTAAAACGAGCTTTACAAACACAATTTTTATATTTTACCTTCACTTATTTTTTCTTGCTGAGACTAAAACCAGAACCTTCATACAGAGCCACATTTCCAGACACACACCCACACATACACACATACATACACATGCTTTTAAAAAAAAATTTGAGATAGGCTCTCACTAATTTGTTAAGTTGCCCAAGCTGGGCTCAAACTTTTGATCCTCCTTTCTTAGCTTCCCAGAGTGTTGTGTTGTGATTACAGGCACCAGCATGCCTGGCTCAACCTCATATTCTACAAAATTACTGTTGGCCAAGCAAGCTATCTTTCTTTTGTAAAACTAGTGGACAATTGTTTTGCGAAATAATACCTGATCCTAGATTTAAGTTCCTTTCTTGTTTTGGGGTTTTTTTGGTTTTTTTGTTGTTGTTTTGTTGGGGTTTTTTTGATACAGAGATTGGGATGTACCTAGGTTGGTCTTAACCTCTGAAATCCTCCTTCCTCAGCCTCCTAAGTGCCAGGACTCTAGGAGTGCACCTCTCTCCCAGCTCCTGATTTATTTCTTTATACACTAAGGCAGTGGTGGCAAACCTATGGCACATGTGCCACAGCAAGTTGTTGATGGAAAGCTCTGAAAGGTTCATCATTACACTAGGAGCAGTAGATTTTAAAACAACAGAGGCAACAACCAGCATTTTCTGAGTGCTCACTTTGTGCTAGATACCATTTCAATTTACTACAAATTAGGCCAACAAACTCTCCAAAGAAGGCAAACACTACGGGCTTCCTACATACTCTAATTCTCTCTAGAAACCCCCAAAGGCAGGGTCTATGGCAGAGACAGTGAACCTCTTAGAGCTTTCAGTGATACAGACAGCCTGCTGTGGCACATGTATAATAGATTTGCCACCTCTGGTCTATGATAACCCCATCTTATAGGTGGAAAAACCAGCTCAAATGTACAGAACCTGAAGAAGGAGAGGTGGGGAAGCCAGAAGCCTGCCTGTGCCTATGGTCTCTCATGAGACCCCAATAAAAAAAGACAGCCATGCGTCTTCCCCTGTGCATGCATTATCTCTGGAACCCACGTTGGTGGGCTGTGTCCCACCTCCCTGCACAAGATGCTCCTACCTCTGCCAATCACATTAGCAACCATGAGGCACCTGCCCTGCACCAAGTGGCATCATCTTATGGAGCATAAAGGATAACATGTGAAAGACTGACACAGGCCATGGGACTGCCACCCAAGAAAGGTACATTCCACTTCTGTTCTTAAAAGAATGTAACTGCATGGGCCCTGAAGCACACAAAGTCTCCTTGAGCACCTGCTGATGGGGGCTGCCTCAAGGGACCCGAGGAATAGCACTCATGACAGATCCAAGACATGAAAGGCCAGTGTCAAGTGGACAGGAAGGATGGGGATCTTGCACACAGGTTCTGAAGAGGTAAAGCATCCCTACAGCTCAAAATGCAGCCAGTGCTGAGTGACACTCCCTGTCTTTTCACCATCTCTCAGTGACCAGCTGCACTAGTTGCTTGGGTATCCTCCGTGTCTTTGGCACACCCAAGAGAACAGGAGGAACACACATTCTAATTTTTTATTTCTTACATAAAAAGCAACACACTACTCCGTAGAGCTCCTGAACCTTAGCTGTTTCACTTCAGAATACCCCCGGGGATCTTCCTTCAGGAACACAAGCACAGCCTCCTTCTTCCTTAGAGCACTGGGCACTCCGCTGCAGAGATGTGTCATGATTTATTTCACTGTTCCCCTACTGATGGCCACTTGGGTTGTTTCCCATCTCTTGCTATTTACAAATAAGATGAACTCCTAAGGGTGAAAATCCAACAGTATCTGAATCAGTAATTTTCCTTGTGTGCAAAACTGCCCACATAAGCAATGTATGAGGGAAAAGATGTAGGATCTTTGACTGTAGAGGGCCCCAAATGAGTCCCAGCTCAGCCACTCACAACGCTGGAAACCTTGGATGAGCTACCTGCTTCCCTGTGCCTCAGATTCTCCACCTATAAAATGGTGACAATAACAGACTCTACCTCCGAGCTGTGCAGCAGACTCCATAACCTAACCCCTGGAAGAGCATTCGCTGAGAGCTTATTGCTATTGCCCCAACTTGCAGGCCAGCTACTCACTAGCACAGCAGCACTGCCCATATCTCAGCTCGCTGGGATGTGGCACTGGCCGCAACGGCGGCCACCTGAATTCCTTGCATCTGAAGGTGAACATCTGCCAGGGCTGTTAGGAGTTGGTCTCACCCAGAAATGCTGACTCACACGAAGAAGGCCAGCAAAAGAGACCAGAAGGAAGTGCTGCTAGGAGAGCCCTGCACTGGCAGGACCTTGCTCCCCGACTTCAGGACTCGCTCCCTGGGTGGAAGCTGAGCTCGGGGACAAGCGGGGGCTGAGAGGTGTACACGCTGGCACCTGTCCTGCAAGCCTCAAGCAGCCGGCCATTCTGTGTCGCTCCTCCCCATCCTCACTGCCTCCCCCGGGCCACACCATCCTTGCCTGGCACCAGAAGAGCCACCACAGCCCCCTGGGCAGACTCCACACCAGCCTACACCTAAAATTTACTCAGCCAACAGCCAGAGGGAGCCTGGTAAAACCCAAAGTGGACTGCGTCCCTCAGTGGCTCACATCCTCTGGGGACCTCACACCCTCAGTCAAACCCCATGTCCTCCTGGGACCCACGTGGCTCACCATGACCACTGGCCATCTCGGTTCTGCCTTCTCCTCCTGCTCATTCCACTCCAGCCACCTTGGTTTCCTCATGGCTCCCCAGGCCCAGCAGGCATGCTCCTGCCCCACAGTACCAGCTGCTCCTCAGCCTCACCGGCCCCTGGCCTCCCACCCTAGAGCTCTGGCTCCCTCTCGCCTCTTTCACACACTGCTCACATCGCTCCCCAGCAAGGCCTCCCCTGGCCCCCCTGCTTAGTCACAGCCACTCCCAACCCAGCCCAGTCCTCCTTCCCTGGTTCTGTTTGGTTTTTCCTCAGAGCACTGATCACTGCCTGACACAAAGTGGGAAAGAGTATTCTCTTTCTCCTAGTTCTCCATCTTATTGGAACATAAACGCCACAAAGGGAGGGGTTTGCATCTCTCCTCCCTGCTGATCCACCCCCAAAGCTCAGCAGAGCACCTGATGCCACCTCTGTGTGACCTGAACCTCTCCTCCTTACCCACTTAGCGTCTGTTCTCCTTTTTTCAAGGGCTGGCATCACCTCTTTTCTTTCTGGGGGAGCTTGGCCTGGGGAATCAGCACATTTCATCCCCAGACACCACGGGTGGCTCACAGCCTGACATGGGATCCAAGTCTGGTTGCTGTGATGAATTCCAGGACCGTGGGTGGAGTGTTTGGAGAAAGCAGCTCTCCTTACCCTGGAACCACATGCAGCAAAGCTGATTGAAGCAGAGTGGACCTGGTGAAGCTTGGAAACAAATCTAACCCAAGGGCAAATACTACAAAAAGACAAGGTCCTGATGACACTGAGTTCCTGCATCCAGGTGTACCTGAAGCCAGAAACTACCCCAGGTCTTTTCAGCATAAGCCAACAAATACCCCTCTTTCCCAGTTTGGTTAGGTTTTCTGTCACTTGTTTCACTAATACACTCAGGCTCCCGGTCTCAGGGACAGACCTGGGATGTGCAGAACTGACTTTGTGTTTTCTGTCACATCTGATCTTTCCAGGAATTATAGACAAGATTTCTGGGCTGGGAGCCCCCAGGCTCATGCTCAGTGAGACAGCAAATGCCCCTGCTTTTGAGCTTCTATGTGTTCAGCACTCACAAGACAACATCACTCTCCATTTCTTCTGGGCCACCTTTATTCTGTACACCACATATAACTTAGGGGTCACCTGGTTGGCAAACCACTAACAGCAGGATGCTCTATCCCAACCAGTGCTACTACTACTAGGCAGCCTCCTGCTCTTCCATTCTACTGGGCTCCAAAAGATCACTTTGCCTGAGCATGGACTATGGGACTCGGGGCGGCCTTGAGGATGCAGGAGGACCTCGGGGGAGCTATGGGCACCATCTGGACAGCAGGGGACTGGTGAGGAGGAAGATGCTAACAATGGGGGCCACTATTTCCAGCTTCGGCAGCGGGACCACGGGGTGCCAACCCTGAGATAGGAAGCCTGTGGGGCAGGGAAAGGGCTGGGACGAGCTGCCAAGTTCAGTGGTATAAGCTGGATCTTGGTCTACAGTGTGGTGCTACTAGGAGGCAGGGACTACTGGGAGGTCTTTAGGCCACTGTGGATGTTCTCCTAAAGGGGCTGAGGGACACTGGCCCACTCCTCACTCTTGCTTCTTGGCCATGAGGTAAGCTGATCCATTTTACCACATGATGCCACTATGCAGGCCTGCCTCATCACAGGCCCAAAAACAATGCATCCACAAGATCACAGACCTGAGCCTCCAAACCTGTAAGTTCAAATAAACCTTTTCTCCTTGTCAATTGATTATCTCAGGTATTTTGTTATGGTAACAAAAAGCTGCCTTGCAGTTTCAGTCCTGAACAATATAAGGTTTGGATGGCCCTGTGGAGGACATGGACAACAGCTGGCTGAGACAGGACTTCTGCTTCCCAGTTTGCTCCCCTTTGTTCATTCACTTCATCTACCTATGTGAAGCCTGGAGAAAACAGTACACAAGGTTCTTTCTTTCAGGCCAGGCGAGATCATGCACACCTGCAGTCACAGCACTCAGGAGGCAGAGGCAAGAGGATCGCCACAAGTTTCAAGCGAGCCTGGCCCACACAGTGACTTCAAGGCTGGCCTGAATGACATAGCAAGACTCTGTCTCAAAAAAAAAAACAAAAAAGGGCCAGAGATATAGCTCAGCAGCATAGCACCTACCTGGCAAGTGCAAGGTCCTGAGTTTGATTCCCGGTACCAAAGAAAAAAAAAAAGATTCTTTCATTCAAAAAAAACATGCCTTGCAGACAGGAGAAAAAACGTCTAATGTTCTATCATACCACAGGGCAACTACACAGTTGAAAGCAATTAACTGGGGCTGGGGATTTAGCTCAGCGGCAAAAGCGCCTGCCTGGCAAGCGCGAGGTCTGAGTTCGGTTCCCAGTACCGGAGAAAAAACCAAAAAAAAAAAAAAAAAAGAAAGCAATTAACTGAATATTTGAAAACAGTTAGTAGGATTTTGAATGTTTCCAACCCAAAGAAATGAGAAATGCCTGAGATGACAGATGTGCCATTATCCTGATCTAATCATTACACACTGCATACATATACTGAAATCTCATGCTGTATAAATATGTATAATTACTGTATTTATGTACATACATACAGGATACTTAATATACATAATACATTCATTAAAAAAAAAAGGTATGAAACCGTAGTATCCCTATTAACAGGCACAAGGCATGATTTGGTCCCCCTCACAATTTACCTCCTTACTCAAATCACTGCAGAACCTTACTTTAAAGCAACTCTAACACCCAATTCCTGAAAACACAAACACATTTCCTAGATGTAAGATGAACATAGTACTTACCAAATGTATCAAGTATGTCGGTGATGAGGACAAATTTGCTTGGGTAGAACTGAATAACACTTGTGTCTGAAAGAAGCTTTGAGCACTAGGAAGAGGAGAAAAGAAAATTCAATGTGCCATGTCTGACTTTGTTGGGATCCTCCAGACCTGGAAAATTAATCATTTCTATAAACAAGATGCTCACTGTCTTTGCCAAACCTTGTGCTAGGCAAGGGGGATGCAATAAGCCAAACCACTGTGCTTCTGACAAAAGAACCCAGACTCCTCACACAGCGCCTCTTAAGGAAGGTTCTGGAAAGCCTTGCTCCAGGAAGGCCAGAGGACCAAAGAAGTCTTATCCAAAGGGTTCTCCTTGAGGAACAAGGATCAGTACTCATGTCTGCAGCACAGTGCTCTCATCTGACCAATCTTTATTCTGTTTTCCACCCTGGCTTCCTCTGGTTTATTTCAGTATGGTTTCGGTTCCTTTTTTTTCTTTTCTTTTTTTTTTTAATTTTGAGACAGGGTCTCACTAAATTGCCCAGTCTGCACTGAAACTTGTGATTCTCCTGCTTTAGTCTCCACGCGTGCTGGGACTACAGGCATGCGCCACCACGCCCAGCTAGCATTCTTATATGCTCTTTTCATAGAACTAATTACCCAAGCCTTCTCAAACTTACAGCAACTATTTAAACTTACTCCCTAATTTCCCTCTCCAGGGCAACATGCCAAGCTTCAAGAGGATGTGTTTCTCTGGAACTATGATCTTCAGTGCTGGAAGTGGTCCAGCTCTGACTGCATCGCATAGTCCCTACGCTCTCACTGGTGCCAAAAGGCTGCTGACACATTCATGATTTTTTTTTTCAGAAATGGAGATGGAACACAGGGCCTCTGCATTGAGCCACATGTCAACTCTTTTAAAAAAGCTATTTCTACTCAGAAGAACTAAATTTAATGGCCTGAAAGTCTTTACAAATCCCATAGTCAGGATAAGAAACCAAATAACTTTCTTCTGTTTTATCATCCCAACAGTTGGTCTTCAGATTGGAAAATGTCACACAAAAATAAAATACTTAGCCAGGTGTGGTGGTAAATGCATGTAATCCCAGCACTCAGAGAGTGAGGCAAGAGGATCATGAGTTGGAGGCCAGCTTAGGCTACAAGTAAGATCCTGTCTCAAATAAATAAGCAAATAAAATTTAAAAATAAAAAACTTTCTGCACATTTAGAAAAGTCCTTTAATATGCATTTCCAACATGCAGAGAATGTTAGAAGATTGACCAGGTCAAGCAATAGGCTGACATGTGTTTCCACTTCAGTGTTGTTACTCAATATCTAAATTGTTAGAATCACCAAGTCTTTCCTAAGCATAAAATGCTTAAAAGTAAACAGCATGTTTGACTTATGAAACATTCTCCTACAAGCCAGATGCTATGGGTGGAACGGGGGTGTAAGCTGTTAAAACAACAGCGCTGACACGAAACATGGCACTTGGATGTATGGGGAATTCTATTGCCTGACTCCCTGCTTGGTGATCTTTTTCCTAAACTCTTTATGAGAGTTCCAACTTCAACAATTGCCCCAGGAGACTTGAGAGCTGGAAGAAAAAGCAAACAAACTCTGAATTGTAGAGACTGTTTATAATACACAGCACTAGATTCCTAGGGACATGACATCTTGGAGATCCTACCCAGAACCTGGTTTTCAAGTCTCTTGGAGAAGACCAACCATCCACAGGCAAAGAGACACACAGAAGTAAAGCAGAAGATTTCGAACAGACTTCACAAACATCTGTGTGCTGATTTTTCTCCCAAGCTGGTACCATAGAACATGTATTTTATGAAGTATAACAGGAACTAAAGTTTCTTTAATCCAAAGTTAAAGCCATAATAATTTCTTTTTTTTTTTTTTTTTGAGACAGGTTCTCACTATGCAGTTCAGCGGATCGTAAAGACTGTGGCCTTGAGCTCACTTTCTTGCCCAGGCTGGTCTCAAACTCACAACGATCCTCCTGCCTCAGCCTCCCCAATGCTGGGATTACAGGTGTGCGCCACCACACTTGGCCGTAATAACTTTTTAAACTGAAGTTACCTTTTAATACATTCCCTCCAGCATGAATAGCTGATGGTTCTCGGTAACTGTCCCATCAGGCAGCTTGTACCACTGGTGGTATAAATGGATCTATTCACGTTTATGGCACCTGATGGCACACTCATATATGTAACCACCTGTGCTTCAAGCCCCACAACAATGAATTATGCCCCTCTGTGAATGTGTTAAAAATCACTATTCTGAAGATGCCACAGCTTTTAAAGCTTTGGTGCTACTTCCTAACTTACCTGTTTAAGAACCAGGTACCTTGAAGTATGAAAAGTACAAATTTGCTGCTCCTCACAAAATCTACTGGTCAAAATCTGCAGCCAAGGCATCAGGAGATTGGTACTGTAACAAGGGCAATGGGTACCGTAACAAGATTCTCACACTCTGCTGCTATTAGGGAGAGTGACAGCGTGCTGGCCCGGCAATGGGAAACAGCTTTATGATCCGGGAAAGCTGAAGTAGCACGCAGCCGTCACCAGGTCATTGCTGAACAAAAATAAAGCCTGCAGACACAGGGTTGGTGTTATCCATCACCCACACACTCTATGGCGTAAGTATTCTACAACCGACGTTCTCAATTCAGAGTCCTCTATGGAACACTGAAAATAATGTGCCAGAATCCTACCCCCAACCCCTCTAGAAATTCTGATTAAACTGGTCTGGGGTACAGCTTGGACACTGGCACTTTTTAATTCTCCAAGTGAAGTACAATATGCAATAAACATTTCCCAAACAACTGATACATTTCTCTGCCTGAAATACAGGTTATTAAACTTACTAACTTACTAACATTGGTAGGAAAACCCTGAAAAGATGTTTTCTATTTGTTTCCAATGAATGAGGAAATTAGCA